GTATAATACATATAAAACAAAAGAAAAATGCTCATTTCAACATGAAATAAAATAATATCTTAGTTATAGTTGTTCTCCTTCAAATTAACACCTCAAATTACAACAATAAAAACTGATAATTTTCCTCATAGAACAGATCTTCCGAATACTACAAGGAAGAAAAAAAACCCTAACTAACAAAAACATAGATCGATTCCTGAGAAAACTTACAACTATACACTCAAATACGTACAATCATTCATACTGAAAACCGATACGGTATTATCAGATCCAAATCCCTAAGTAATTACATATCAAACAGAAAAAATCGAAAAAAAATCGGAAAAAATCAGAAAAACAAGGAGAAATACATAGAGATTGAATCGTTTTACCTCATAAACCAAGATGGTAGAAGAATCGAGATCGATGCAGAGACTTCTGCGGATTTAGGGATGAGAGAAAAATGGTAGAGAAGGAAGAAAAGAGGCAAATGGAGTACTCGTGAATGTTGTGATAAAGATATTTATATAGTACTACTATATACTAGTAACTTTTATATGACCCGAAAAAATTCGGGTTCGAATATTACTTTGCAATATATAGTTGGTATTGTTCCGCAACTAACCTAAAGTACATCATTGTATTATATACCATCGAAAAATTTGCAAAATTTATTATTTAAGTAATCACGCCACCAATAAAAAAAATGTGGTAATCAAATTCTAAATATCCTTCATAAAAAGTATGGCTAAATACATCTCGAGCTTCAAAAAATTTAAATAAAATAATTAATTTTTAATTTTCATTATCAAATATCTACATAATTTTACTAATTTTTCTACATCGTATAAAATGTGAATTATATTGTATATAACATACATATATGCTAAAAAATTTATTAAATAAAATCTATAAATAGTTGGGCGTAATATTTTTAAAATGATTCATTTTACATAATTTTTCTAACTATTTGAACCTACTATATAAATATTTCAAGTTTTGTGTATTGTTGCAAGTCAATTTACTTGATGATGCGAAAAAACATATAACCTAACAACACGTAAATTTTAAATTATGAGAATGAAAAAATCATTTTCTATCTATAACCTTATTATCTTTGGGTAACTTTGATTTTCTCGTTGTGACTAAGATATGACCAGATTAAAAAATATTTTTTATAGGTTCAATCAGTTTCTTAATAGATCTATAGTGAAGGATGATTCTTGTTATTTTTTTGGATAGTACAAGAATATTTTTTTTGTTCACTTAGATAATATAAGGATGTACATTAGATTAGAGTCATAGTTGAGTGATGATTTTAGGCAAAAAAGAAGAAAAACTCTAGTGTGTTTGGGTCTCGTCGCAAGGCTCGTTTTTAGTTGTAAGTTTGCGTTTTTTTAAATATAGCGTCTATATTTAACTAAGTATATTTTTCTTGCCTTACTTTTTGGCGGGCTCTACTGTTATAAGATCTTATCGCGTATGTTATTATCATAAGGTTATGTTATCAGTATCTTGAGTTACAAATTTATGTTGTCCTTAAAATACCTTTAGGCTTTACTCAAGTGTATTCGTAATATTATAATTTCAATCACTCAATCATTCTTATGAATCTTTGACATGTTATTATGTTTAACTAATTACGATGGAATAGAGCCATTTAAAATGTCGTCTTGTCTATAAAAGATGACACGTGGCTTTAGAATTTCTTGTGGAGGCCCATTTGATTTGACAATACTTGGCCCATATAATTGGAGCTTTGATGTTAATGTTTAAGTTCAATAATGTGCATTCTCATGAGCCCACTTCTTAATTGACAAAAACTCATGACAATACAAAATAACAATCCTAATTTTGTGGATCAAGAATTTAAAGTTTATGAATTTTTATGACGAGATGTTAAGTAGATATATAACAATAGTTGAGTTTACAATCAAGTATGCAATTAGATATATATTGATTTTTTATATTGTATACAATTTTTAAGATTTTAAGCTCAAATTATAATTAAATTCACAATCCGTAAATTGTAATATAGTTTTTTCTTTAATAATATATCTCTTCGAGTTTTTTAATTTGAAAAAATTAACAGAAAAAGTTTGCTAACTATTAACCAAAAGAATGTCAACCAAACACATTAGCTAGTAAAAACAAGAATTTGATGTTAAGTTTATGTATAACATCAACTGGAAATTAAAGAATAACACAAATTACGAACATAATTATACGATGGGAGACTTACATAAATATACTGTAATAAAAAAAATATTTATCATTTATAGTAACAATATTTTTTTTCACTTGATCAGTATTAATTCATTCATAATACAAGTTTAATACATATTACAAAGAACAATTTATTATTCAAATATAATACATTTTTTAATGACATATGATATATGTATCACACATTTTAATACATTTATAATACAATGTGATTTGTACCAAACGAACATAATATATTCTATAAAAAAATTATAATTCATATACATTACATACATAATTCACTTTTAATTCATATTGCAGATTTAACATAATATTATTATAAATGGTAATAAATAAAAAATATCGCTTAAATCAGTAATTATTTATTAAAATATACCAATTTATGTAATATTGTCACAACAATGTAATTGGTTAAAATGCTAAAATTTAAAGAAGGGATTTACACTGTGTTGGGCTGGAAAGCCCATCTTAGTTTGGAAGAGCCCAAGCTGTTGGCCCAACTGTTATAATCTTAATATCTTAGGAACAAGATATCAAGATATTATAAGACGTCGTATTTATAAATTGTATATCTGCGTGTTCCTTTTTACAAAAAAATAATTGTTCGTAATCACAAACCTTTAAATATACGTAATGTTATAAAGACTCACTAGTCAATAATAGTAGTATTAAGTTATCCTTTAATATAATTATTTCACATGGTACAAATAATTTTTCTCAGGTCGAGCATTCGTCTTATGAACTTTTAGGTCAAGTTTTACAACTTAAAAAGAAGGGGTCATAATTCAAAATCCTAAATCATGTTTTTTGATAAATTTGGCATGACCCCGAATCACATGAATAAATGTTAATTGAAAAACGCGAGGTTAAACTCATTGTACGTATCAATATATTAAGTATCTTAAATTAAAAAAATAAATCAAGTTAATAAATATATCAATTTATTAATCATAATTAGATGATCAAAAAACATCTCATGAATTTATTGATTAAATATATTTTTAGCTTTGATTACTAAAAAATATGTCTATTACTCCCACTACTATAATGATTTTTTAACTAGAAAAAATTAGGCAACTAGCCATTTTTGACTAAAAAAAATTCATCTGACATAATTAAATTAAAAAAATGTTGAATCTTGGACCATAGTGGTTGACACACTCTGAAATAATTATTTTCTTAATTGTAGATTATTTTTTTTGTGTCATATTAAGAAAAATAATATAAATATATCTATGTGGAACCCACACTTTTTTGGTACAAATGTCATATGTTGACTCGTTGAAATATATATTTTTTTATCAACTAAACTATTATAATCGCAAATTAAAGTACGAGATGTGCAATGATAATTGTGAGTTATGACGGCAAAATCGCTTAATTACTTATAGTATCATATTACATATTCGATAAATATTACATAACAAGATGATCATCATAATATTTTTGGTATTTACTTAAATTAATAAATAGATCATTAAATAAGAATGTTTCTTCCAACATAAATGGACCTTTTAAAATCTATTAATAATATCATTTTCCCCACAATTGTATTTTATCTTAAAGCCATCCATCTTAATAACTCAATGTATATCACGTGTTATTTTAGTAATATCAATAAATTTTAAATGTCGAATTATTAAAACATAAAGGACATGATATTAAAATAATGGTCCAAAAGGGAAAACTAATATTTTATATTTAATATAAACAATAAAAGAAGTGTAGATGTGACAGAAAAGAGAATCAAAATAGATGGCTTTAACAAACTTCACATATCACTAACTAGTCCAATATATTAAATCTCACTTATAATATAAAAAATTACAACATTATATGACCTAAATATATATATATATATATATATATATATATATTACTTTCAAAGTTAAATGAGAACATTAGGCAAAAGTATGAATAAGAGATTGAATTTCTTTACTTTAATCATAAATTTTAAATTTAATTATTATTATTATAATATTATATTTGACATATTACATAGTCAAATGAAACACAATATAGATAAAATAATTATTTTTAATTATAAGTTTTGATTTCAAATATTTATATTTTACATGACACTAAATTAAGTGTAAATTAAGAATATAAGATAATGATCGTAAAATTATAATAACAAAATCACACAATCACTTATAATACCACTCCACATACAGTTTCATTTTTACCTCTCGTTTATTTTCCTCACAACTAACATGTTATTTGATCGTATTACTAAATTTCAAATAACAAATTATATAAATAAAACAAAAAAGGGCACATTTGGTAATGATCCAAAAAAAGGAAAAATTATCAATGAAAGAAAAAAAAGGAAAAGAAATAAATAAGTGACAAATTAGGTAAAAACATAAATAAAATAGATAAATTTTCTCTGTCTAATCATAAATTTTAAATTTCAATTCTAAAATTTTATTTGACGTAAATTTAATATACTATAAAACAAAATCACTCACCATACTACTTACCATATATACCACTCCACATACGTTCTTCCAACTCATTATTTTCGAATATCAGATCATTATAAAAAATATAAAAGGAAAAAGTTTAATAATAATAAAGATGGATTAATATCATTTAAAAAAAATCAAAAAAGGAAAAAAATTTAATAATAATAAAGAAATAGAAAAGGTGACAAAAATGAGAATCAATTTTTCAAATTTGTCCTCATAGCCCCTCTATAATTTTCTTTCACCTATAAATAGTCCTCTTCCTTCTTCTTCACTTCAAATCTCACTATTTTTTCCTTGTTTACAGAGCTGTATTTTTCTGCAAAAATGGTTGATGTTATTGCTGATGCAAACATGGATGCTGTACAGCGCCGTCTCATGTTTGACGATGAGTTTGTTCGCTATCTCTCATTTCAATTTTTTACTATTTTTTTTCGTATTTTTAATTTGTTATTGTATACAAATCTCACTTTATTGATGTAGATCTATGATTTAAAGTTTATGAATTCGCATAGTAATCTCAGGTTAGTAATCGTGGTGTTTAGGTATCAGGTAACTCTGTTCACCAAAGCTGAGATAGATTTGAAAGGAATTAGCTAGTGTAAATGCCTTGAGATTTGAATCAGAACCGCGTTTGATGATTGGTAGGGTTTGAGTAATGATGAACCTATCACCTGTTCATTGATTTCGATTTGTTTCTCTGGTTATGACTTTGCACGGAGTTTTAAGAAATTAGAGAAGAATTTTGAATTGTTTGGTCTTAAACTGAAAAAGATATGTAGAATGTATTGATCGTGAAGTGTTAAACATTTTATGTGGAGAATTGGAATTAAAGAGTTGTTAACAAAGGAAGTAGACGTTGTTTTTGTTTGACGGACTAAAAAGGAAAGTGAGATTAAAACGGAGGGAGTATAGTTTTTGTGCCCTAGTATTCTTATTTTTGCATATGATTTATTGATCGTTAGGTCAAATCTTTGAAACTTTGTAGATATAAGATTTATTAGTTAATGCAAGTATTAGAATGAGTTTGAGATTGAATAAAAACAGGACAGATACAGAGTGTTCATCTAGTTTGAAATTGATTCATTGATTTGTCATTGGATTGATGGTTGTTCTCCTTCTGTCCCAATTTATGTAGCACTGTTTGACTTTCTAATTATAGAAAGATACAATCTTTTTGGGATAGATTAAGAATAAAAGTGAGAAAATATGAATTTAAGGAGGGTTGTTTTTCTGCATGAAAATCAGTTCTGAATGTGTAGATTTTGCTTCTAATATTATAAAATGACCATGACTTTACTGGTGTGGTCTCTTGTGAGACCAAGCTTTATCAGTGTATGAGTAGTTGAAGATTTGTTTTCTGGTTGTCCTGGACAAATATTCTTAGAATTCCGACTTTTTAATCAATTCTCAATTCAAGATATTTTATGTACAGGATATTAAAAATTCGTTAAATTCATGTTAGTTGTTACAAGACGATATTTGGGGAACTTTCACTAAGAAAGCTGCCTCATTTCTCTTTTAACTTGGTTGTTGTTGTTTTCAGTGTTTGATCTGCATTTTTATAGTTTTGGCAACTTTATGACCTTTCTCCTGGTTTAAAGCTCTTTTCTTTAACACACTTGCAGATGTATTTTGGTGGATGTGAATGACAAGGTTGTTGGTCATGAGTCCAAGTACAATTGTAAGTTTAGATTTTTGTTCCGTCTTTGGAATTTCCCCGGTTTGTGTTATCTTCTTGTGTATTTCCCTAGGTAGCTGTATCTTATTTTGACGTTGAAGGTCTGTGTAATTTAATGTTATTGCTATCTCACAATTAAGGGAGTTTATCGGTGGATAATCTAGAATTCACAAATTTTGTAATTTTAACTTTATATGTTAGATCACTTTATAGGCTGCATTTATTCTGTGAAAGTTTGAGTAAACCAAACTTATCTCTAAGAGCAGTCGATCATGTCTATATGATCATTTGTTCATGTCTCCTATTTTTGCTCAATTACCTGCTATTGATGTGCAGGTCATTTGATGGAAAAGATCGAATCTGAGAATTTGCTGCACAGAGCTTTCAGTGTGTTTCTTTTCAACTCAAAGTATGAACTTCTTCTTCAGGTATGTCGCAGAGATAGATCGCCTGTGCTGAATGATTATGTAGTGTACTATTGTGTCAGTTCTTGGCATCATAAGATATCGTCTCAATACTAGAATCTTGATATTTAGACAAGGTATAAAATAAGTAGTCAAATGAGCTGTAGTTGAGACACATCTTTGTTGCTTTTGAAGATTAAAAAACTTGATGTGTTATCTTGTGTTGTGTGTGTAGCAACGATCTGCAACAAAGGTAACCTTTCCTTTGGTGTGGACAAACACATGCTGCAGCCATCCTCTCTACCGAGAGTCTGAGCTTATCGAGGAGAATGCTCTTGGTATATTTTCTGTTTAAGCTGAAAGTCTTTAACTTTTACCGTCCTGACTTCTCTTATTCGAATTCTATTTATTCTGTTTTGTACTTTCAAATATTAGGTGTAAGAAACGCTGCACAGAGGAAGCTGCTTGATGAACTCGGTATCCCTGCTGAAGATGTCCCGGTTGACCAGTTCACACCATTGGGTCGTATGCTTTACAAGGCTCCATCTGATGGAAAGTGGGGAGAACATGAACGTATGAAACATCTTCTGTATTTTAATTTTGCTGTGCTTATTTAACCTATTTGTCAACCTTTTAGTAAGCCAAAAGGGCTTATTTAAGAAAGTTGGTCTGCTTTGGGCAAAAATACTTTTCAAACTACGTAAATTTCGGAAGCTTGGCCAAATAGGTTATCTGACTATTTATTGATTATTATCTCTAATTATAATGTCGTAGTTACTAAATTAACTGCATATATCATAAAAGCATGAATGTGTATTGAGCAGATAGGTATAACTCCGAGCTGATTCCTTCTTTGTTATTGCAGTTGATTACCTTCTGTTCATCGTTCGTGATGTCAACGTTCACCCGAACCCAGACGAAGTTGCTGACATCAAATATGTGAACCAAGAGCAACTAAAAGAGCTTTTGAGGAAAGCTGATGCTGGTGAAGAAGGTTTGAAGCTGTCTCCTTGGTTCAGACTCGTTGTTGACAACTTCTTGTTCAAATGGTGGGATCATGTTGAGAAGGGGACCATCCAAGAAGCTGCTGATATGAAAACCATTCACAAGTTGACTTAAAAGCTACGTTGCTCAATCTCTCCAAAAATATCGTGACAATGCATGCACCTGTCATCATTTTTGAAGAGTCTTGAGCAAACATAGCTTAAACGGAGTCAACTTTTTACATGGTTGAACAACTACATTTCTGTTCCTTTTTAGACAATAAATTTGGTAATATGTTCTGTTGTTGTTGTTGAATAGAACAGAGGTATTATTGAACTGATCAGAGCTTGTAACATAGACATGTTTCTGTTGAATTTTAATGAAGTAGCTTTGCTGCTTTGTACTTGGCAAATTATATGTTGTTATATGCTTTAGCCTTTTCATACCTCACTTGCGGAATTGCGTATGTCCATATGTTCAGAAGTTAAAAGTTACGAAAATAAGGACGTTAAGATAGAGTGATCTCGGTAGAGGATAAGATGTTAGAGGACAAGATAGGGAGGTGAGATTAAGGTAATTCAGACATGTAGAGAGGAAACATACGGATACCTTAGGGCGGAGGTGTGACAAATTAGCCTTGGTGAGTTTTAGGTGAGGTAGAAGCAGGTCGACAAAATATTGAGGAGATGCAATACATGACGTAACTTTAGCTTACCGATATAGTATGACCTTAACAAGAGGTTACAAAAAATACAAATTAGAATAGAAGGCTAGTAGATAGTTGTGTATTTGCGTAGTTTCTACTTTCATATAAGTAATAGTATATACTCTTACTTTTAGTTTCTGTTACTCTCGATTGTTTTTTTCTCATACTTCGATTACCTTATCATTTTGTCATAGTTACTATCCATTTTTTTTTTCAATATAATCTGTCGTGCTTTCTTGATTTATTTTTTTATCACGACTTCTTCATTTCTTACGAAACTAGATAAATAAATTCCACAAATGACATTTTATATTGTCCATATCTTTTCGACCCTCCAACATGGCAACATATGTACCTCATTTTCACCACCCTACACTCCCTACCGTCACCTTACCTCTACCTTTTACAGTATTAGTTTACATTATATAATAATTTTTAGATAATAATTTTTGCTTATATATCCAATAAAAATAGATAAAAAATTCTATTATTTTCTTAAAAGACATTTAGAAGAACCATAAATTCTTAGGTTAGTTAATTAGTTAACCCTTGTAACGCAAAAATAGTAAACTAGTGATTAATTTTGATTTTGACGTTACAAGAATAACATAATATGCTAACTATAATTTTTTTTTTAATCCAATTCTATATTTTCATCAAATAAATAAATGCATTTCATATTTCTTTTCAAGATTCGCCATGTGAAAAATAATGAGGCCCTTATGGAGATGTTCTGAATAGTTGGGTGGTAATCTCTTAGTAATATTATGCATGAAATTTTATTATTTTTTCAAAAATAAAATTGACGTAATAATTTCTTTTTCTAAAATTTGATTTAAGTCATTCAGTCTGTTGAGTCATCATGTATTTCCGAGTTTCTAGGTAATATATATACGTAATTATTATTATTATTATTATTATTATTAGTATTTAATATGTATGCAATCAATCATTTCTTGAATAAATTATAATGTAACTTACAAAGATTCTATTAATTAAGGAGATAATTATTTAGTTTCACGTTAATTTATAATATTACGAATTTTATTAAATTTTGAAATTCGCACACATGTCTCTTGGGATGTCCATATACACGTCTCTAGTGCCACTCTTCTCTCTTGCTTGTTCTGTGTGTTTGGTATCCCAAATACACATATTTAGTATATTAGATACATATATATATAGTGTGATATATGAAATCATTAATTAGTGAAATAATATATAATCATTTCAAACTATAGAAAAAATTAGTAAATATGGTAGAAATATTTATTGGTAGTTTCCTAAATTATAAGTACATATTAGGAGATGAATAAGATGTTTAAAATGGTAATTTATTTATTATCTGGTGTATAATAATTCACTTACTTTAGTTAAATATTTAACCATGATAAACTTATATAGTTTAAACACAATATATTATAAATATGAAGTTTGGTAATTAGCCTATAATAAAAATAATAATTGATGACATGTTATCCAAGGTTAAAATTCACTTATTATGAAAGTAATTAAATAAATTATCAGTATATATAACTTAAATAATCCTCAGGTTATTATTATTATTAATTTAAGATAAAGTAACAGTAATTATAGAAAACTAAATCCCTATATTTCTCAACCTTCTAAAAACCTCTTTTGTCACATTTTCAGGATAACCAAATAATGAACCTATTTTTATGGTAACTAAATACTTAAAAATCTCACTACTTATAGTAGCTATTTTTCCCTTACCATAAACAAAAAAATAATCCACTTTTTTCACTTCACTCAACAAGAATTTGTGAAAATTTTTAAGTTAATCAAAATAAATGTTTAGTGAAAATTCCTCTTAATTAGTAGTAATAATAAGCCTAGCATTTGTTGAATGCTAGGCAACCAAATGTGATTTTTTTTGAGGCAAACAAGTTGACGTAGTGACATTTTTGAGGTATGATTAAAATTATTCAAAGTATTATTTTTTTTTTAATTTGGCTATCGACTTATCGTTTTTTTTTTTTAATGTTATGTATATTGAGACAGACAATATGAGCAAACTTCTCTTAATTTATTTGGGATTGAAGCGATGTTATTGTTATTGCTGGTGAACGTTTATTTACGAGTTTCTAGTGATATTATTTTCGTTTACCGGCCACGTCATCATCATCGCCACCTTGCCGGATGGATTTTCTGACGATACCTCCCGGCATTAGTCCGGCGGCATTGCTTGATTCTCCGTTCATGCAACCAACTTCACTGGTATAAAGTTTTTAATTTTATTATTTTTTTTGGATTTAATTTTATGGAATTTTAAAAATATTTTGCATGATTTTTGTTGTTGTTAATGTATTTTTATTTTATTTTAGGGTATATTGAAAGATGATGTTTTGTGAAAGTCAAAAGTGGATATTATTAGTCAAAAAGATTTTATATTTAATTTTCTAATAAATGATGTGTAGGTAGAAATTATTAGGCAATCAGATTATTAGGTTTGAATCTGAAATGTACGTGTGTATATATATATATACGCTCTTAGTTTGACTTTATATTATATTTATGTTCTTTATATTTAAACTCGTATAAAATTAAACAAATAAATACACATGTCCTACAAGATATTTTTTGTCTTACGCGGTGTTCGACGTGTATTGTGTCATGTAGGACTCACGTATTCAACTTTATACAAGTTTTTTAGTGTCACTCGTGTATATCCAAAGTTAGAGGACATAAACGTACAATGAAGCCAAGTTAATTAAAGGGCAGCTTTATGTATTATGCCTTAAGGATATATTGAGTAGTACTTAACCATAATTGTGCCAGTGTTTAGTGTCTAAAAATGTAGCTCGATGAATAAAACATTCTGCGTATATACACAACATAACAACATCAATAGTTTTTGTTTCTACGGTTCGAACTTGTGACTTGTATAGGTTGTATGAAGACAACTTTACTAGTTTAGCGTCTCATTGATGTAATGTAACATGTACAACCTGAAATTTCGGTTTGGTTCGTACATTTTGTTGGTGTGTTACTTTCGTATAGGTTACACAGAAACAACTTTGATCCGTGGTTTAGTGCCTCAGTGAATCCGTTTGGTATGTAACTTTTGTATAGGTCATATATGAAAACAATTTTATCGGTGTTTAGTGTCTCACATTATATAATATATGAGAGAAGTATTGAATAAATCCCTAAACTAGACGTGAGTTATTAGTTTCATCTCTGAATTATTGACAACTTTAAAAACACCATTTTTTACTTGACTAATTGTACTTAAATACACCCCGATCTTGCAACATGAGTGAAATACGAAATACACTCCCCTAAATTCTTGCCAAGTTTAGGGGCGTTTTCAACACTTGTGTTACAAGAATTATTGTGACTAGTTGTAATGTCATGTGGTCTTCGATATCTAAGTTTAGTCAGTCAAGTAAAGGAATGTTTTTGAAACTGTCAAAATATATAGTTCAGAGACGAAACTAATAATTTGCGGCAAGTTTTCAATACTTGTCTGATATATTTTGGAACTGAAATGCAGACACCAACTAAGAATGTTGGAGAAATATTGAATTGTATTGAATCAAGAAAGAATGAAGAAGAATTTAGCAAGAAACAAAACCAACAATATGAGCAGAGAGGCATATATAATAGTGCTAACAATTCATCAGATGATGGATATACATGGAGAAAATATGGACAAAAGCAAGTTAAAGGGAGTAATTTTCCAAGAAGTTACTATAAATGTACTGAACCAAAGTGTCTAGTGAGGAAAAAAGTTGAGTCTGCACCAAATGGACATGTTATAGAAATTGTCTACAATGGTGCTCATACTCATCCGAAAACTCGACGAAAAACTAGTGATGTTGTTGCACAACAAAATGGATCATCATCATCATCTGATTTATTATGGAGAAATGATCAGTACAGTAGAGATGTTGCAGCAGCACTAGAACCTGTCATCTCTGATGCCTCCGATTCAATGTTGTCCAACAATATCAATAACGTCTTTGAATCTAATGACATTTCCTCTAAACTTACTACATTTGATGCTGAAAATGAACATTTAGCCACTCATTTTCTTGGTGATGGTATCAATCAGTATGAATTCGAGACTAAAAGAAGGTATGTGAATCATAAGTCTTTTTCTTTTGTTTCATTCATTTTTTCGGACCATCTATATACGGGTAAAAACTCTGCTCCAATAATGTTGTCCGATCCAATACTCATGGTTGTTTGTTTGTATGTAACACGAATGGTGGAACTGACCTCAGGAAGAAAGACGGTTATTTAGCTGAACCAAGTTCACTGTCGAGAACAGTGAGAGAACCAAAAGTAGTCCTACAGGTGGCGAGTGAAATTGATATTCTTGAAGATGGCTATCGCTGGAGAAAATATGGCCAGAAAGTTGTCAAAGGAAACCCGAACCCCAGGTATAGCTGTGTATGTTGAC